GTTACATGACCTTTATTCAGACCAGAGAGATTGTGATCAATTGTCCATTCCCACAGTCGCCTACCACAAGATTCTGTCCTTATACCCCCAAACAAATGGTGTGAAATTAAGTCTCCTGTCAGTACAATTTCCTTTCTACATGCTGCCAAACGCTGTCAAGATAACGCGTGCTTTGCACACTGGAGGGGAAGTAACAATTTACAATTTAAAAAGGGTGGTATCTGGGGAGACAAAAATCTAATGCTAATAATTCCCAATCCAATTCTAACATTCTAAAAGAAAGTTTCGCCCTATGGCATAATTTACTTGATACAAGGATCATTAAACCACCACCACGTGATGAGCGATCTAATCGAAAAGAACGAAAACCTGCAAGTTGGAAATTTTTATCTGGTGTGAGCCAAGTTTCTTGAAGAATTATAATATCAAGATTAAAATTATTGCAAAAGTAATTTAAGTCGGTTGAGGCTGAGAATATAGAACGGCAGTTCCACTGTAGTACCCTCAACTGACCTATGGTGTTGAGCGCACTGCAGAGGCGCATGTCGCGCCCTTGTTAGCACCTTCACGCGAAATAGCTGATTCATTCCGTTTAGATTTGGACTTGCGATCAGTGAAGATAGGGGATCTGGTACGTTTATTAGTTCGTATATTCAGTTCTATATCTGTAGCAGTACTTGTGCTCGGCTGAGGCGAATGTCGGCCCAAGTGCACCTGTGTTCCTGACTGCTTCGCCTTGCCTGCAGATGCAGAAAGGTCGTCCAACACTACATTGCGTAACTGTGTGGCCTCGCTGGTAATGTGTAATACTGCAGGTTCTGTACTAGTCTGTACTATTTATTCAATCTGACTTGAAAGTATTTGCACTAAACAGTCGGAAAGGTTAGATATGAGTTTATCTATTGCCTTACTCACTGCCTTTTCCACAGCACTTTCAATAGCCTGCGATAGGTTTGAGTCCATACTGGAAGTGCAGCGTGCTGTAATACCAGAGTATCCAAAAGCCCTGTCTCTAACTATGTCAATGGCTTCCCTTCGAGAAAAACGGCGGCGGTCAATAACTTCTAGGATTTGAACCTCCCGGGAACGAGCGGAACAGTCAGAGTTGTGTGCGCAGTGACTGCCCCCACAGAGACAACACTTTTCCGCTGTTGTAGTACACTTGCTTGAAGGATGACTCTCTCCGCTAGTGCTACAACGAACGTTAGATTTACAACCTCCAGCACTGTGGCCGAATCTCCAGCAGTTCTTGCATTGAATCGGACGAGAAGCGAGGGGTTCCACTCGGAAGATCAGCGGCCATAATTTTATTTCTGACGGGCATTTCGTGCCTACAAATGTCGCGATGACAGATTCGGTTAGTACCCTCTCGTTGTCGACTAGGCGATTACACCGGTAAATTGAAATTACGCCTGCTCCAGAGAGCCTGTCTAGGGTCTCAGCTGGACTCAGCTTGGTATCGACTCCCCGTACAAGGCCTTTGGTACATGCAAGATGAGGCGAAATAAGAGCACTCGTCATCAACTGTGCGGTTCACCCAACCACACAGTTGATGATGATGATGATGATGACCTCTTATGGATGGCGCTCACCCACAGAGGGGGATGCGCCAAGAACCGGGAGCAGGATACTTAAATGAAACTAAAATGAAAGTGAAGCCAATCTGAAAAAGTAGTTTAAAAATAATACTACAAAAAAAAACAAAAATGTTTGCTGAGCAAGCGGTCAAACCAACTGTTGTTTTTGATAGACATAACTACGAAATGTAAACTAAAGATCTGAAAAGGTTAAGGTTTACTAGCACGGTAATCTTTTAGTTGCGTTGATGCAATCAAACACAGTGGAGCATACATCCCTGTGACAGTAACCAAATGAAGTTGCGCCAAGTGATAAAATTACTGGTAGATTTACTTGTATGTCTAGCTTTTGTAATGGGGCCACTAAAAATCTTTTTCTCTGATAAGACTAACGATGGCAGAATAAAAAGAAATGTTCAATTGTTTCAATTTCGTTGCACCAAATGCATAGAGGTGACGCCTTGAGTCGAGCTTTGTTAAGGTAATAATTTAGTTGTGGAACTGCACAGCGCAATCTGGTATAAGTGACCTCTAACTGGCGAGATACACACCACTGTTTATTCCAGCAGTAGCTCAAATGCTCGAAATCTTTGAATTTATCTAAATTACCGTTTCCCCGTTGCAGGCAAGCATTTCGGAACCTTAGCGCTGTCACGTAAGCCGTATCTGGCAAAACTGGGATGGGGGGCCCACCCAGGGATACTGCTGCTAGAGAGTCCGCCATTTCGTTCAAAAATGATCCTTGGTGGCCCGGTACCCATAGCAAATGCAGTTTTTTTACGTTTTTCGGTACTAAATGCCGAAACGTATTCATCAGCTCTGCATTTACTGCCGCAGAAAGTGCCTTACAAACTGAAAACGAATCTGTAATGATAACTGCTAATGATTCGCTTGAGGGCAACTTGCGTAGGCCAAGAACAATGTCCAATATTTCTGCAATGAATACTGGGGTGTAGTCTGGGAGTCGAATCGAAAAGGACCAGTCCAAAAAAGAGTTCCAGCGCCGCTCCACTACTCTTCTTCTTCGTCCGAGCCCCGTACGCTCGCGCATCTTCGTTGCCATATATATAAACCATTGTTTTTGTTATAATGAATATTCGTATGTATAAAAGAAGTTATAAAATACAATGATAACCTCGCTACTTTCACCGTCGGGCTGTTTGCGTCTGCGTCCGCTTGGGGGATGCGGTAGCACATGCACAGTAGGGTTCCCCGACGCAACCACGAGAGGGGCGCACGCATTAAGGAACCCTAATGCACAGCAATGGCTGTGTCCGTCGCGTTGTTTACTTCCAGGTACACTTGCACGTGTTTAGGTGAGTTGTTCTCTAGTCATATAAGATAGTATGTGCCACGGGTGCCGCTTCCACGAAGACAACGTTGTCTGAAGCAGAGACACAGGCTCAAAAATAACAAATATGCGTTGTACTACAAATCCGTGAATCGCCACTGCCATCATTTCCAAATTACACTTCACTTTCTCGTGTAGCTGCTAACCGCCAAATTGACGCTTTGTGAACGTAACTACTCGCTCGAAGTGCACATAAGTTGCCACATGTGACAGGGGTATTATTCTCGAGGAGCATGTCACACTTACGCTCCCTCATGCGTTAACGTTTTTTTTTCCTTTGGTAAGTCATTTTGGTTCTATGTAATGTATGATATCCTTGAGGAAGATAAAAAGGAAAGTATAACTTTTCTTTCGTATTTCACTTGGCACATTGATTGTAGATAGTATGGACCACCTCGATGCTGCCAATACGCTCGAGCTCGATTACACAAGAATAATGGTTAAAGTGACGGAAGGTGCAGTCATCGCCACAGCGCACACTAGTCGGCTAACCTCTACTGTACTTCACTGGTACGCTCCGAACGGCGTTGTTCTTCGATGAATTTGAGGTTGCGAAAACTATTCATATGTATATTTTTTCAATACTCATGTTTTGATGGTTTTGATTGAACAAGTAACACTATCACGCACTACGTAACGTCAAAAAGTAAAAAATAAAGGTTCCAAAAGGGTTTCACACTCACCGCAATGGCTACTGGCGACGCTGAGGGAAGCTCCTACGTTTAAATGCGCATGTATACACCATAAAAGGGACGGAATGATGACCACCGTCATAGCTCACTGTAGGAGCATCATGCGCATACTTATAAGGTCACAGGTTCACTTTTCGCCAGTGGCAAGTTATGTTTTCGTCAACTCTGCTTTCTCCACTTTGAGACCACAATTCCTTCTGAAACAACTCCTGTACTTTCCTTGGCATCATTATCTGTTAGGTCTAATTCATTTTGCCTCTAACAGAGAAAAACATCCCTTAAGTTTGCACTTTGTTTCTCTATATACGGCCATGTCATACACATTTATACTGTACTGCATAGTTTCGCCCGTGTGACACCAATCGATGGCTGGAATGAGCAGGTGATGAGAGCAGGAGCCCCTAAAATGCACCGATGTTTAGGAACAAACAGTTTGGTGCTCTACGGATAAAAGGAAGCGAACTATGGCGTTCTAATGACACGTATAAGGATGGATAAGCTATGCGCTAACAATATGTAAGCAGGGTGGCTGAAGCGTTCCTTAGCGCTCACGGTAAATCCAAGGCACACATAAATAATGGTGGAGACGTTCAGTCGACTTGTGTCAAGCCCTTACGTATATATGTTTCACGCTTTATTTTTTCGCACTTTTTTCATATTTAGGATGCATGCCTTCGGGATGCTAGTTACACTCCGCACTTCCCCGGTGCATTCAAAGTCACGTGCATGTATACCCACAAACGACTCACATGCCAATGTACCAGCGACAGCTAAATTTGCACACTTGCTCGTCATAAACTCGGCAGCAGGCTATCTTCGTAAGACTATGAGATTATATATGAAAGTGCATGGTGCAGCTGCTCTTGTAAAATTTTGGAAAGTGGGGAAGGCTTTAATCAACCATGTAGTGATCAGACGCCTGAGATGCGATTCCTCTCGTGAGTATCTATGTGAGAAAGCCCTGCCTAAGCAGCCATTCTACTGCAGAATACAAAGACAGCCACGGCAAGCCATGTCACTTGGAAATGGTGCCTTATTGTCACCAAAGGGATGTTGCGCAATCTGATAAGTGCCGATCATCTTCGTCCTCGTGCAATAATTCGCCCTGGTGCTTCCCATCACAAAAAGTGTGCATTTACTTTTGTACATGCGCAGCGGGACATACTAATAATGCACCTACAATGCCTCCAAAAAAGATAGCTGTAGACGATAGACGGTGGTGAGTTTAAGTGGTTTAGAAGCAACATGATTATTCTGGTGCTTCGATCGGTAGTTCACTACTTCGGCGCTTCTTTTGCGGTTATGCGTATTTCTAACCAGGACATCTAGAAAACTGCTGCAATATTTGCGCAGACAAGGGAAAAATAATTCGTCACTTACCGACACAGAGAGGTAGACGAGCTGACCACTCTCGATTTTCTTCGCAGCGAATGGTGTCGTTCCCCCACATGTAGTATCCACGGTTGCACTCAAACTTAACAAGGCTGCCCACAGAGTACGAAGGGCTGCTGTATCGGGCACCATTGTCGGGAATGCCCGGTTCCTCGCATCCATTACGACGCTGTGATGCCAACAGTGCTGCGTACAAAGAAATTCTCAATAATAGGACCAAAGTACGTGCTGCGTTCCACGTAGCCAAATTAATCAGCGAACAAACGAATATACGACAAGAGTATCTTTCAACCGATCATAAAAAATGCAAGGAAAATACGATAAGGATAAACAGGCATTCGTGATAAGCGGAGTAGTATGCGTAGCGCCGTACTTGAAATGATAGGTCACGGGAACGATCAAGCTAGACTGTCTCATTAGTAAAATATTCAAACTAGCGATAGAACTACCGATTATCACAAACACTTACACACTGCTACAACTATGCCTGCACAATACCATAGATGAGCTCATTGAGTCGCAACGTATTCCGCATTATGAACGTCTCTGTGAGGGCCGTTCCACGTGCTATCCGCACAGCCGCAACGCACGTGCCGAACACCTGCCGCACGCAAGCGGGGACAAGTAAGCCGCTTGGGAACGCTCTTTCAGCCTCCGCTTGAGTGCGGCAGGTGTGCCGGCACGTGCGTTGCAGCTATGTGGGTAGCACGTGGAACGGCGCTATAAGACACGAGGAGGAAAACATAACCTACAGTGACTAAGCATAAGCTATCACACGCAGCACGACGTCGAGGTAGACAACCTAAGAAAGACAATGGAAACAATTATGATATCCCCTTTGCCCAAAAACATGTATCCCAAACAGAATAACGCCAGACGGGAGACCAGAGCAGAAGAAATGCAGAAAACGTTCGGTAACGACACGGACGCAGTTTTTGTTGACGCTGCTCGCTACGAGCACAGACTGGGGTTTACAGTAGCGGTAATTGACAGCGACAAACGCTGTTCGACATGCGAAATGATACGCAACACAAGTAACGAGACAGCGGAAGAGGTAGCCATAGCACTCGCACTACAGCTGAGATAAACGCAACCGTAATAGCCAGTGACTCTCAAACGGTAGTGAGAAATGACCGCATCTACCAGGAAGCACTGAAATTCTAGTTGGAGGGTATCAAGCAAGGAACAGAAATACATACATTATATGGACACCTATTCACGCATTCGTGGGGGACAGCAACAATGGGGCTGCACATGACGCAGCTCGAGGGTTCACCGACCGAGCGGCCCATTTCAAGTGCAGCCGCAGTATCCTTCGGTGATGACGGCGTAGTAGACGAGTGGGAGCGGAATGACAGAATATCCACATACAATGACATTCCCGAACATTATAGATTACGCAGGGGCATATTCCAGCCCCCTCACCCAAAATTAACAAAAAAAAACAGTCTGTGAAATGACAGCAGTTATAAACTTTGACGTATCCGAATTCTGCGCTCTCACACATTCTACATCCAGATATCTACATAACAAATAGGTGCAAGTGTCTTGACTCCAGAGTTACTTTGCAGCTTATGTTCTGTGAATGCTGTGAAATTATTGTTCATAACGAGGATGTGGCCTCTAGTAACAGCTTTTTGACGCACTGAGAAGCCGTAATGTTCTGCCCCATCCTTGAAAATCAGATGTGAGCGTCCAGCGGGCCGAGAAAGTCGCCAGGATTCAAGCACTTTTGAACGCAACGTAGGTGGGGCCATTGGTCCAACCAACCAGCTCTCCAGACTTTGAATAATGTTCTTTCCTCCTCGTTCTCCCCGAAGGGAGTTGTTAGAAAATGCAAATGCAATGCGTAGAGTCCATGATCTCCATAACGGCGTTACGCAAGCGAGAACCGAGCATTAAGAAAATAATCTTTTATTTCTTTTACACTATACAGCCGCTAGCACCGCTTGCCGTGCGTACCCTTTTTCTGTAGCTCTAGTAGGTAGCATACATAGTTAAAAATACCGTCACGAGTGAATGGGTATGAGCCATCAACTGTTGCGTGAAATCGCTTGAAAGTGGAGAAATAATAGAACATTGCTTCCTGGTCTGGGCGTTGGCGAAACGTCGATTCCTAGCTGACTCTATTATTTCGTTCATGGCACTGGTGGAGGTGTTGGGTAAATGCGCATCGGTTCCAGATCTTCAGCCGACACACCGAGCTATTTGGAGAAAGCTACAGCTCCCAAGGCAAGAAGCAGTCGCCGCCTGCGAGGACCATCTTCCGAAAACGGTCCTCTCTCTTGAGACGAGATAACAACCTCGACTACCAACCAGGCAAGTCAAACCAACGACGCCTATTTCTTTCTCCCGCTTGTTTTTCATGCGCCGCAAACACCACGATCATTACATGGAGACATTTATGAGGATATTGATGACTGGCTTGACTACTTCGATAGAGTTGCCTACAACGTGAATGGGATGAAGCTCGCAAGCTGCGGAGAGTTTGCTTTGCGTTGAAAGACTCTGCCAAAACGTGGTAAGAGAATCAAGAGGGTTCCTTTGCGAGGTGGCAAGAGTTCAGCAGACAGTTTTGCGATGCGTACCGCAGCGCCGAAATGAAAGAGAGAGCAGAGCAAGCCAGCTCGTCTCGGAACCAATGGCCTAACGAGAGAGTTTTGATGTTTGTCGAGAACATGCTTCGAATCTTCAAGCGTGCTGACCCTGCAATGTTCGAGGAAAAGAAGATGTGGCATTTAATGCTTTGGGTAAAATTGCGGCTCTTCGCCGGAGCTGTGCGCATTCCGCTGACGACTGTGGCTGAGTTCATAAGTAAGGCAACCACAATGGGGCGTACTCTCCAGCATGGGTCATCACAGTATGAACGCCACAACATCACCGCTGTTGCATGCTCCATCAGGGCTGACAGCGAGAGGCATGCCCTCACAGAGTTCATAAGGAGCGTTGTGCAGGACGAGCTGCGCCAACTCCAAGCAGCAGGACCCCAATCACCCGTAAATGCTCAAACAGACTTAATCCAAAATAATAGCCGACAGGTGGTCACCCCACTCACACCAACAAGGCCTGAGGCCCCTGTCCTGACTTATGCAGCGGCCCTGCGATCTCCTGCATCACATGCCCCCGATCCCACTATGCGGACAATGGATCAGGCTAGCCATCGATTCCAGGGCACCTCTTCAACTCCGCCACCCGCCTCTAGGTATCCGAGTGTACCCACTTATCATCCGTCTGGATAGCGACAGAACGCCACAAAGGCCGGCGTGTGGCTTACGTCAGATAACCGTCCACTCTGCTACCGTTTTGGCGAAGCGGGTTGCCGCAATTGCCAGTGCCGTCAACTTAGTCTCCATGGCTTCCACCCTGAAGCTCGGTGCCCACGTTACGGTGAGCATCCCTGCGACATCGAAGCGTACCTTATGGACCAGCAAGCTCCTCGCCTTAGTCAACGCCACCAATCACGATCACCATCACCTCGCCGCTCCACGTCACCTAGCAGCCGTCGTCATCTTATGCTCCTTTCAGAGGCTAGTCACCGAGTCCCCAGAGGGGAAACTAGAAACCGCGGCTCCTGTGGGTGAAGCCGCGTCCCAACGAACTGTCAAATAGCCTCCCTTGACGCAAAGACCCGACGAAGACCGTTCTGATTTTTCAGCTGTTTCCGAAAGTCATAGGACTGTTTTCGCCGGCATCACCGTACAGATCGATAATCACGTCATCACTGCCCTCGTCGACACCGCCGCCGATTATTCGGGTATGAGGAGCGCCCTGGCATCCAAATTGAGAAACGTAACTACCCCTTGACAAGAACCCACGTTGCGCATGGCAGGGGCCACCTCGTCACGCCTACTGGAATGTGCACAACCCGTGTTCGAGTCCGTGCTTCGGCGTTCACAGAGTCTTTCCTCGTATTAACTGTGTGCTACTGTCCATACGTTCTTGGACTAGACTTTCTTCGTGAACATGGCGCAACTATTGGCCTACGAGAATTGCAGGTGTCGTTCAAGGACCCGTTTTATCCGGAACCTGAAAACACCCACTTATCGAAGGCTACCCTACGTGTATCCTCCTAATCTGTTACTCTGCCTCCCCGCAGCCGTCTCTTTATCAGCGTTGAATGTAACAAAGACGTCCCCGATGGTGAACTTGCGGAAGGAAATTTGTCCTACTTTTTGCACAACAAGTCTGTATTGCCCGAGGTATCGTGCAGCCCAATAAGGAGCAGGCTTTCCTATTAGTCATGAGTTTCAGTGAGGAGTATCGCCATCTTACCAAACACACTGCGATCGCATACCTTGGGGATATTGCAGACGTCTCTGGTCTCTCAACATTATCTGCCTTTTCGTCATGCAACCATTTCGCCATGATATTTGCAAGCACTCTCGACGCAAACCAGGGTCTACCTTCCACACAACAGGAACGTCTTTTAAAGCTACTCGACTCATTTCGGGACTGCTTCGCTGCGACTTCGAAAGTGAACCAACCCCGCTTGCCAAGCATCGTATCGTCACCGAGCCTACCGAGGGACCCATTCGACAACACGCCTACAAAGTCTCGCAAAAAGAACAAGACGCCATACGCCAACAAGTCTAGCAGATGATCAAGGACGATGTCATCCAGCCATATACCAGTCTCTGGGCGTCCCCTGCTGTGTTAGTAAAGATGATGCCCTGCGATTTCGCGTCGATTACCGAAAGTTCAATAGGATTACGGAGAAAGACATGCATTCGTTACCACTAATAGATGACTAGTTAGAACGCATTGGCAACGCTCGTTACGTTTCTTTCATGGATCTACGCAGCGGCTATTGGCAAATTTCTGCTGATAAGTGCGACCACGAAAAGACCGACTTCATTACTTCTGACGGACTCTATGAGTTCAAGGTCCTTTCTTTCGGCTTATGCTCGGCGCCAGATACTTTTCAAAGAATGATGAGCGCGGTTCTTTCTGGTCTAAAATTGCAATCGTGTCTTGTCTACCTTGACGATGTGGTCGTCTTCTAGGAGACGTTTGAGCAGCACGTCCAGTGCCTACAGACAGTTCTTCAGGCGAATCCAACAGCTGGACGTCCTCTCAAACCTGAGAAATGCCACTTTGCTTTCGAGGAACTGAAGTTTCTCGGTCACGTTGTCAGCCACGCCGGTATACACCCAGATCTAGAAAAAACGAAAACTGTTTCCGCATGT